ATCCAGATAATCCAGGTAAGAATCTAGAGGATCTGAGGAATCGAATGATGCAAAGAAATTGATATGTTATTGGACAAACTTGAGAATACGGTAGACTCGAAGATAGCAACCCGTATAGAATTGAGAAAATAACTATATCTCCTCATCTAATCATAATTTCTGAGCAAAATATATGATATTCTGAATGTAGACNAAGATAGCAACCCGTATAGAATTGAGAAAATAACTATATCTCCTCATCTAATCGTAATTTCTCGGCAAAATATATGATATTCTGAATGTAGAGACTCTGAACAATCGAATGGTGCAAATAAATTCACATGTTACTAGGCAAACTTGAGAGTACAGGTACCTTGAAGATGGTAAAGATGGTAACCTCTATAGAGTAATAGTATTGTGCTGATATTGATTTATAGTGATAGAATGTATGTGAACTAGCAAATTTGCGCCTGTTATTGATTTAGCTTTATAAAAATAGCCATACCTTCTCAAGAAAGCAGAACTGCTCAACAATATAAATGTTTTTCTAAATAAAGAGGATCAGATGAATCGAATGGTGCACAAAAATTGATATATTACTGGGCAAACTTGAGAATACGGTAGGCTCGAAGATAGCAACCTGTATAGAATTGAGAAAATAGCTAGATCTCCTCATCTAATCGTAATTTCTCGGCAAAATATATGATATTCTGAATGTAGAGACTCTGAACAATCGAATGGTGCAAATAAATTCATACGTTACTGGGCAAACTTGAGAGTACGGGTACCATGAAGATAGTAAAGATGGTAACCTCTATAGAGCAATAGTATTGTGCTGATATTGATCTCTAGTGATAGATAGTATGTGAATGAACGACTTTGCGCTTGTTATTGATATAGCTTTATAAAAATAACCATGAGATTTGAGATTTGAAAATCTCTTTTTGTGGTCTGTGGTCCGAAAAAAAAACAGGGTCGTCCTGGTTTAATGACATTGCTCATTCAAACTCTTTATGAAAGAATTGAGGTAGAAAAGCATAGCATGTTTCTCTTGTATGGTTGGCTAACCGTCTCTCTCTAACAATTCGCTCATTAAGAATATTTCAGGTTAAATCTTTTTCTCAGTTCGGTATATTAGATGTGGTAGAGGACGAAGAAGATAAAACACAAGTCCCGAGTCTGTTGACATCAAATCCTGATAATTCGTAACTGAATGTCAATGAAATCATGTTATTTCAAGTTCATTTCTATTTTTGCAGTTGTTTGGAAGTACATATAGGACAGATCATCCAGTTGCAGCTAACGGAAATTCTTCAAGAGAGAAATTCAGGACGTACACAAGAGTTAACTGCGATCAACAAAAGTTCATCCAGAAGCCACACATTACTGCAGATATAGATTGAATGATGATCGTCTATTACGACGGTCTATATCCTAAGTTTGCAAAATCAACGCTTTCTGGCAACGAGTTCCTTCCCATACGAGAGGCTGCGACCAGATAAGCCACCTCCAAAGCCTCCATGCGTATTGTCATAATTCATGAACGGTAATCACATGTCTCCGTAACCAGGCATCATTCCACCCATTCCACCGTATTCCATATACGGTGAATATCCACCAGCGTATGAAGAATAAGGCATCATGCCGTAGGGATCATATGCGCCGCCGTAACCACTGTACGGAAATGAAGATCCGTAACCTGTTTGTTCGAAATTCCAAAAATTATTCATCAGCAAAGAACGAAAATACAGTGGAATCGCTCTGTTTCGATGCATAGTCAGAATAATATGGCATTTTATAGTGGGTAATATTCTTAAGCAGCAAAGTAGAAAACTGTTGGCAAACCGAATAATCAGCACCGAAAATGCGTTTTTTTAGCCGTGAGATAAACCACTTAAAACGTGATATGATTGAGCAATGATCGACAAACTTGTTGTACCGAATTGACTAAAATTAAGTGAAATTTTACCCGACATGCCTGAAGCAGCATACGGTCCAAATGGGTAAGCACCATATTGTTGCGCGGAAGCGCTGACGACTGCCAAGAGGATAGCGATCAAAGTGTTTGCTCTGCTCATGTCAACTGAAAATGAAAAACGATCATTGCATGGAGTGACTGATTCAAAACTATGCTTGATGATTCAAGAAGAGATCAGTATTCATTTGATAAGTCGCGTTAATATTCGATCTACAATAGTCGTCTCAATCGATGTAAGGGGTCTGGTGGCTTCAATGGAATGGCTCGAACGTCGCACTCAGATTGAACAAGGAAGGAATCATTAATATGTTGGCAATACAGGTACCCTGCGTGGCTCGTCCAGCTTGACAAGCCATGTAGGCACCTCTGAACTGTGGGAAAACCATTTTTATTCATGTTGAAGGTGGTCCTTGGGTGAAAATAGAAGCGTGGACTGAAACTCTCAGTAAATTAGAGTCTTTTTGTGACCGCAAAAGACAGCCTGAGCTCCTTCATTTAAAGTTTTTTCGAGTTTGTTCGAGCGACTGAACCAATCTGTTTTCAACAACTGTGCAATATTGACAAAACTGATCAAAACTGTAGGCGAAAACGCG